TATATATCCAAGTTAGGACATTATTTTAATAAAAAAAAACTCCACTAGCATCTATCTTTTTCTCCCTACTGGTCTATTAAAGATCGGTGGTGACACCTTGTGCCAGGAGGCCATGATTTCTTGCTTGCTGCAGACAGCTTTATTTGCCTTTTAAGCTGCAGAAATTTGGGCTGCATTTTGTCTCACGTAAATGTATTTTCACACAAATTACTAATCAGAAACTTTAAAAAAATGTAGTTCAGACTTCGTTTTTCTTTGAAGTCTGAGTTTTTGCTCGTTAATCAACACATTATACCACTGGTTTTGAGGTTGAGTTTTTAATGCTTTTAATAAATCAAACTAATGTAATGTGTTTTATAAGACTCATAGATCCATGAGGGTGTTTTTTCATCTAATACAATGAACACTTTGAGGCATTAATCTTGACTCATTTTTCTTATAATTAAATTTAAAGATGACATTTCTTTTATTAGATACGCGGCCATTTTTGTGTCCGTTTACACTTCAACTGTTTGCTGTAAAATGCTTCTGGAAACCCAGAAACACAGCTGTTGACAGTGTATGATAAATGTAATTGCCTTTAAGTGCACTTTACAAACAGCCTGTAATTTCCTACATACTTTCACTAATTAACTTTGTTTGCTTCCTAATATACAGTTCATGTAATATTAGACATTCTTCTGTGTGGAATGTGTTTGGTTTGGTCTCACCGCAAGGAGGGAATGATTCACGTAATATATGCATTGATGAGAATAAACATAGTAAAGTTAAACTGTTCCCACAGTAGTCGTACCAGCATGTGGCTTGACCACAATGTAATAGAACTTACTGTTGGATTAATAAAGTTGGTATGTTTGTTGTGGCGCCTCTTTTCCTATGACTAAACAAAAGGCCTTTATGGAAAGACTGGGAGATTTTAACCCTTTTGTATTTGAGCATTAAAAAGTTTAGTTTAGTTTATTCATTTATTTAAAAACAAAGCAAATTCAGTATACAAAAAAATACTAATGAAAAATAAAATGAAAGGCAGCAGAAGGAAGAAAAAAATCTTGTATCTGTGCCTTTTTTCCATCAAAAGAAATTCAAACATTGATACAAACAGAAAAAAAATCATAAAAAATAAAATCTGTCTCAGACAATTTTTAAAGATACATATTATGCAATTTCATATTTCTTCAACAGACTGGATTTTACCATTCTCCTAAACTTATACACTGATCCTGCACTTTTAATATCATTCTCCACTTTATTCCACAATTTTATTCCTTGCACTGAAGTACATTGTTCCTTCAAACTAGTTCGGATTTTAGGTTTCACAAACACCTCTGTCCCTTTTAAACTCTAGTAACTTTGTCTCTTAACAAAATTCGATTGGATGTTCAAAGGTAATACTGTATATTTTTATGAGCCTTATACATAATCTGCAAAATGTTGTAATCAACCAACTCATAGAATTTCAATAATTTCAACTGACAAAATAATGTATTTGATGGGTAATCATGTTTTTTTGTAATAATTCTTATAGCTCTTTTCTGCAAAATAAAAACAGGATTTGCAATTGTTTTACACGCTTTACCCCAGACTTCAAAAAAAGGAAATGAAGTGCCTATTATTATAATATTTTTAATTTTTCCTGAAACGTGCTTTCTGTAATCAGCGAAGCTACAAAATTTGCCCAATAAATATACGATTTCCTCCCTCCCTGTCCTGCCTTCTTTCTTGTTCTCTTCAGGTGCTGATTTCTGTACCGTCTTTGTTTCCACAGGGTGAACGGGGAGATGATGGAAGCCCGGGGGCCAAAGGCTATCCTGGCAGGCAGGTGCAGTAAATCTAGTGTTGCAGTGCTGATTGAACAGGGCAACACACAAGTGCACACACACACAACAGAACCAACAATAATAAACACTCAAAACATTCCATATATCGTGGGTTTAACCTTAGAAAAAAAGCTGAATTCTGCCTTTTACAAGAATGATTGGATCAAATAACTTGATTTCCTGTCAGAATGACGCAGAGTTGATTTGTATGATTTGATTTGATTTGATTTATTGATTTAACAGGAAAAGATAAATCAAGCCTAACTCAGCTTAATTGCTGTTTCACAGCAGGTTCCTGTTCTGCAGCACATAAAACACTCAGAAATACAGCATCACAATCACATCATTGTACACCATAGACACAAAGACAAACAAGCATACCAAATTTCAGGAAGGCAGCATTTGCAAAATAGGACGTCTAAATATGAGCASAACAAAAAGTGTCCAGCAGATGGCAGACAAGARTCTTRTTAAAGGGCTGTAGTTTTGAAATGGACTTTATGTTTTGAGGAATGTCATTCCATGCTTTAGTATAAACATAGAAGAAAGACCTCTGGCCATAACAGTTTTTAAAAGTTGGTAATATCAGTTGTCCTTTTGTAACAGATCTAGTTGAATGACCACTTCCAGAATTTGATTTGGGCAGTAATGTACAGAGAGTTCCATAATTGGCACTTTGGAAGATCTGAAAATATAAATTAATACCACTATACAAAACATAATTCTGAAAAGTCAAGGCATCAGACAATGAAAGAACTGAATGATGAGTCCAACCAGGAAGTTTTTTATGAATTTTGTAGGTCCTGTTGTAGAGCCTAACTATGGGTTCTAAGATTTCATTTGTTGTAAGAGACCAAACAGGTAAACAGTATGACATGGTTGAGAGTATTACAGCATGAAGATAGATATTTGAAACAGAAGATGTCAGATTGGATCTCATTTTTGAATAAACATATAATTTCTGTTTCAACTTAGTGGTTAAGACTTGTACATGAGATGTGTGCTTGTGAAGAATTTTATTTAAACTTAAAAAAAGCTTATCCACCTGCATCTTGGTGCAAACTACAATAAATAAATAACTATTTCAAGTTTTTCAGGAGTTGAATGAAAGGCAAAAGGCCCGAGTAAAAATGTTGAGAGCCTGTGGTGAAATTCAGCCATGAATGCTTTTGGTTTTATAAGGAATAATGTCAAAAGGTTTCCATAGTAAGCACCACCCCGAAGTAAGAAAATGTAATAAAACTGCCGCAGCTCCCCGGGTACAAAAAAAAGGCTTTTGTCTTTCTAAACTGCGAGCATCATTCCTTGCCTTGTTTTTCTGCAAACTCTTCACCACAGAAAGCAAGGCCGGGGGTTATTATGACTCCTTTGTATTTAAAATCTTTAGCTTTAATTAAAATTAACCCCCACCCCCTAAGAGGTGAATGACTCTTTGCTCGTTTTTCAGTCTGTGTTTGAATGTTAATGACACTAGAGTTCAGACACGGGTCGAGTGGTTTGATGATTCAGTACATTTGTTGTGTCAGGATTCAGCTCTCTGTAGACCCTTAAAGTAAAGAATAATGGATTAGGTTTTAGCACCCCCTACCATCTGCAGACAGCTGCATGCTCTTTGTCAAGATGCTGCAAGAGGAAAGTTCCCCTGAGCCAAAAGTTGCAAGAACTAATTATCTGGTGAGAAATCATTAATGTGACAACAAATTTAAACCTGATGCTAATCATTGAATGGAATTCACTTGATATTTAATTTGTACCTATTGCTGATTACTGCCATTTTTATTTGTATTTTGTTTGTTTTACCCCTGTTGAGAAATGCATTTTTCCAGGTTAAAACTCTTACCGCAACCAATAAAGCTGTGCAGCTGTTTGCAATGTCATAAATATATTTTGTAAAATGTTTACATCAGGGCTTCCCTGGGCCTATAGGAGGAACAGGACCGAAAGGAACTGGGGTAAGTAGAATTGAACAGGTTTCAGCTTGTTTTCATTTTGTTAAAGTAGGCTGTGCATCATGCATTTTAAGTAAATATAGATGCTTTAAAAGTATATCTCAAAATTGTTGTTTTCTCAAAAATGCATAAACAGTCTGTTAAATGCTTGCCTAACTTTGTAAAAATAAAGACCGTTGTCAAAGCGCTTGTGACATGCCAATCCTTCAAATACAAAAAGTCAAAGAAATCATCTTTATACTTAAGAAAATTGGCAGTACACATGATTTTACCCATTTTGTCACATAAACGGCCTTTTTTCTTTTGAATTTGGCTCAGCCAAAGTGAAACAGGATCAAAGGGGAACTCATGAATAAAATAAACTCTCTGGTCTTTGAATATTAAAACAAAATTATTTGAACTGTAACTCTTCTTTGTCTCTCTTTGGTAGCGACTCAAAATAATCTAAAGAAACATCAGATTCTTCTCTACAGTTTGTTGTTAGCTTTTGTTACAACGCTCTGTTTACATGCTGACATTCCCCTTTGACATCACTTCCTGTTTCTTCACATGCAAATATCTCAACAACCGTTCATCTCAGCGGTGTGAAACTTGTTTTGCAATATGTTATCAATGTTATGTTTCCAAAAAAAACATTAATTTTTATTACAAAAATCTGATGTCACAGGCCCTTTAACACTATTAAAATGGTTTTGTTAGATTCTGCACCTATTTGTTGTAAATATATTCAGCCAAATCTTAAAACCCCTTTTCCCAGCTGCAGAACAGACCTCTTAATTCCCTAAATGAGATTTTAAATGTATTTGTTGTTGTTTGAGCTGTTTTTTTTTTTTTTTTTTTGCACACCGATCTTCAGAGATCCCTGATGTGAGGGTATGTGCCCTTGGACTACATCGTGGAAGCCAGCACCATGCAGTCCATGGGCATATACACTTACCTCAAGGCTTTACTCTTCAGCACCACTCCACTGTTGGACAAACCTGGCAGAACCAGAACAGACTGAAGCGTTTTCAGACCACTTTAGAGATTTCTGAGTTGGTTACATTAACAGTTCTGATTAAAAAAAAATCAGCCATCTTTCCTCACTCAATGTTTCCCCTATATTCTCCCTTTTTCCTATTTCAATCTATGTGCATTTTATCTGTTCCACTGCTCCATCTTTTATTCATCTCTCCAGGGTCACATTGGCATCCCTGGGCTTTTTGGCTTTCCTGGTCCTGACGGGGAGAGAGTGAGTATTAGTGGGCTGTGAGAGTGAATACCTGCAGGGTTGCATTATGACTGTCCGTGGGCCAAAGGGATGAAACAGAAATAAATTTCATTGTTGCTGTAATGAGACACCAGAGGCAGATTTCACCAAATCAGTATTCTAAGCTCAAAGGAGAGCAACCTTTTATGTCGTGTTGGATCACGTTTTGCACCACAACCCACATGCTGTCCTGGATCATCTTTTAAGTGTAGAAGTCAGGTCCAAATTTACTTAAAGGAGGGGTATTATGCAAAATTGACTTTTTTGAGCTTTATATCATGTAACAAAAACATACCCTTAGTGCTGCTTTGACTCATTCATGCATGTTTGTAGCCTGGCCCTTGCCTTCCTACGCAGTTCCGCTCAATTCTAGTTTCCCTTCACTGCTCCGTCTGGGATTTCTCCCATAGACAAGGATTTCGCTGGCAGATTTTTAGTCGAACCAATCAGAGAACGTCGATTTTCTGCACAGTGTCTGCTTGTAGTTTATTTTACCTGGGCCAATCAGCAAACAGAAGGCGGAGTTTTGAACNATTTTACCTGGGCCAATCAGCAAACAGAAGGCGGAGTTTTGAACGATGTTGATTTTCTGCGCAGTGTCTGCTAGTTAGTTTAGCATACGGCAGTGGAGGAAGDGAATYAAGCCAGTCVGTGTTGATAAGGCTTCCAAATTAAAATAAATTTGTCTGACAAAGCAGCAACTCTTATTTACAGTCGTCTCGTTTGGCTCGGTACTTCTCTCCTCTCAGCAGGGTTGTTTACAGCGAATGTAATTTCCGGTTAGCTTCTTAGCTTAGCCTCCTTCACAGTGACATCAGCAGAGGCCACGCCTCCAGCAAGAATCGCTTCTCTACGGCAGCGAGTCCAGTACGAAGCAAAGTGAAGGACAAGGGTCTGGTTTTTATCAGGATAGCACGTTTGAGAAATCCTTGAATCTCCTGTCACCATGTGGAGCTGCCAAAAGCTTGCTGGTACAAAGCACTGCCTATTTACCCAAAGCTCCTCCCTGAAGCTCAGTCTGCAGCTGAGCTCCCGCCCCCCCCCCCCACACACACACCTCCACCGGACTACCATCAGGAGAAGTATTTCTTTACAAGTCGCTTATTTCATTGCAAAACGTATCTTAAAAATGGTGGATGTTCATGATTTCATTGCAAAAATGTGCAATTGCTTCATAATGATCTATATTTATAGTTTATTTGCAAAAAAGTATTTGAACATTGTATGAGAGTGTGGCTGGGAGATATATTACCTAGCTGACACGTCTTAAGAACTTCTGATCTCACTCAGGTTCTTCAGAAAACCTACTTTCAGAGTTCGACTTGAGGTTCAACTGTAGCCTGAGTTGCCCTTTTCCAAAACCAATATTGTATAATGTTGCTTGTCATTATCTTTTATTTTTTCGTAACAAAATACAACACTAAAGGTTGTAAATGGCTTGAAGCATTGTTGTGAAGACGTGCTGAAGTGGGAGTGTCAGAAACGGTAGGATGTTCTTAAAGAGACAGATGCATATTTCATGGTGTTTAGATAGGCTACGATGTAAAGTCAGTTTTACATTTGATATATAAAGCATTTTCAGAACAACTGAAGATAACAGTTACTTGATTGTGGCGTAGAATGTGCCTGGAAACTGTGCAATACCCTTCTTTTAAAGCAATCTATTAGTTAAAACTCCCATGAACCTTGAAGCAATTGGATCAAAACAGAAGCATTGTTTTTAATAGAAGTGTATTACCCAGTTATGAAATGATTCATTATAACTGCAAAACAATTTCACATCAAAAGCCACTTAAAAGCTGCTTGGATTCATGTCATTTAATAGTTTTGGTCTTCATCACTTGACACGTTTGGCTGGGTTCTTGGGGAATGTGATATTTAAATACACTTTTTTTCCGAACTCTTTTTATGTTGCATGTTAATTCAGGGGCACAACAAAGGGGGACTAGTAAGATGGTGGTGGTGGTGGTGGGGGGGGGGTACTGCTGGGTTAATGACGTGGTACCTCCAAAACAGCTGCACAATTGAGCTTTTGAAATAGTTTTGTTGCTGAAAATTGATGCTTATATGAGGTATAAACTGAATATTTACCTTCTTTGCCCCAGTGCTCATCTAAAAAACAGTTTTTTTTTTTGTTAAATCCAGTTCTTTTGTTTCAATTTTTATTGAGTGTTGTAACTTCAAGTGGTTTTCAAACTATATAATATAATATAATATAACATGTGACCCCAGATATTACTGGTTATGGTAAACTTGACTAATAACTCAAACATAGGCATAATATAAACATACTATGATGCTACTTTTGTTAATATATTAAATATTATTTTTGCAATAATACTGTGTATCCCATTGACAATTTATTTGCATTTAAATTGAGGGGCCCACATTTCATGTTTAATGACCCACAGTTGGGTCCCGACCCCAACTTTGGGAACCACTTAGAAAGTATTACCAATCAAGAGCACAACTTTAAACTTCTCTGTCCTTATCTATCTTATTGTCTTACTGCTTCTCTGTTTGTTTGATTTTAGGGTATTCCTGGTGTACACGGGAAGAAGGGGAAGATGGGTAGGCCGGTAAAGTTTTCTCTCAACACACTTCTCAGAAAACATTAAATGTGCAGAGATGGTTGTAATCTAACTTATGAGCAGTGAAATTATGAAGTTTGTTAAAAAATGGGGACATTTTAGTGTAAAACCCCTTCTTGATTTGCTTGTAAACATGTAGAAAAAATGTGCAGTCTTTATAACGGCCATGTGTTGATCATTGATCTCATTTCTTGCAGTTTTTTAAAGTCGGAAATTAGAATCATTTATGACCTTTGATTAATTTGCTCTGGATGGTGTTAATTAGGAAGATTAGTTTTTTTTAGACAGCGTGCTTATTGCTGGGCTTGTAATGCATTAGACAGATATGATAATGGGATGTGTTACTTGTGGGTTTGGCCCTCTGGAGGATTTACCCACAGACGAGGGGAAGTCTGTCGTCATCGGCGCCTGGATAGTAAGAGTTCCCATCTCTCCAGGCTGACAGGGAAAATACTGATAATCACTTGTATAAATGGAATATTTCCCAGGCTCAGTGTGGGCTGTACATGATTTTTTTTCTTTCAAGTTGTTATGCAATTTTGGTCAATGACGTAGTCTATATTGAGGTTTAAAAGCTTGCATGTAAAAGCCAAGAAAAAACAACTCGGACAAAATAACTGATCTCACTTTTCACCACAGAGGAAGAAAAATGACAAGTACATGTGCTTTTTAAAAACACGAAAACATGTATTTGCACTTTTCTTGTGTCAGCTGTGCAGATGCTATTAATCTTGTGACTTTTATTTTTGGTGAATGGAGAACTTGAAGTGGAACAGATAACGAAAAAGATGTCCTCAAACACAGAGAAAAGATTTGTTAAACGGATCAAACTGACACTTTGAGCAAGATTCTATTTGTTGTGGGTGTTTGCATCAGTTACTCCTCATTACTCATCCAGATGTCAGATGTTTGAGTCTCCATTCACTGAGCCTTCTGCTCTCTGTATCCAAACAGAAAATAAGAGAGATCTTTGCTATCCATCCAGCTGTCAGTTGCGTCCCCGCAGCCCTTGTTTTCTCCAAGCCAGCTCCTCAGCCGGCTGTGAGTTGGCCTTGGCGTGAAGGGACAGGCGCACGACGAGCCACGCGGCTGCGTCACGCCTCGTGTTTCAACCTCCGTACGAAGGGCTCAGTCAGCAGCTTTTGGGGCCGAGCGGCTTTAAGTCAGTCATTTAGGCAGGTCCTAAGGGTTTCGGTTCGCGGGCTGCCGAGCGCTCCCTGCCAGCGTGCGCACACATGGACACTCGGAAACACTCAGCCATGGAATTTCCTGACGGTCTCCCAGGAGTAAAAGCTCTGGGAGCATATTTAATGGGGTTTGCTTGGCTTTTACGCTGCAGACTTCTGTTTTGGGAGACAGTTTGCTGATCTCTGGTGTGTTTTCTAACAACTTACTTGACAAATCGTACGAGATGTAAATGTCCATCAAACAAATGAACATTTTGACAGCATGAACGTTATAACGTGACTGATGATCTGTTTGTGTGTGCACCCAAGGGATTTCCTGGTGACTTTGGAGAGAGAGGACCTCCTGGCCCTGATGGGAACCCAGTAAGTGGAACAAGGTTTACAGATTTATTTCTATTGATGCAATGATACACTCCCTAGGCAGAGATTCTTAACCTGTGGGCCGTGAGCGCCACCTTGAGGGCCTCAAAAGAACAACAGTTTTTAACTTTGGGCCCCAGAGGGCCGCGGGACCGCATTGATTTTGAATAAGGTGTAATACACTTTCTCACCACTAGTAGCAGTAGTGCGCCACTCAGATGTTTTTTTTTGATCAAGGTCTTTTAATTAAATTCTTTATATATTTTTTTTACAAACCAAAAAAAAGGAACATACGTACAAAAACACAAAACAAAACACACACACACCCAAAATCCCTCCCATCCCTCACCTCCTATACCGGATCCACTGAAATAACAAAAAATGATCTTGTGTTCATCAAATGATACAATGAGCAGGTTTGTGTATAATGAAATAATATTTGACCTTTACACAAAATTATCTGCCGAAATTTTTTCTACATAAGATACAAATGGCTGCCAGATATCAAAGAATTTGTTTACAGATCTCCTAACAGTATATCTAATCTTCTCTAAATGAATGTAAGACATAACTTCTCTTAACCAATGACCATATACTGGAGGATGTGGATCCTTCCATCGAAGAAGAATAAGTCTTCTAGCCAGTAGAGAGCAGAAAGCTAACACCGTCCTCTGATGTCTACTGAAGGAAGCCTCTGCTGGAGCCACCCCAAAGAGAGAGATGAGTGGTGATGGATGAACAGTTCGTCCAAATAGTCCTGAAAAGGTGTCAAAGATGCCTTGCCAGTATCCATGTAGCTTTGGACAGGACCACAATGTGTGTAAAAGTGTGGCAGGGGATTGTCCGCAGCGATCACACGTCGGATCCAAGTCCTTTTTGAATTTGCACAATCTGTCCTTAGACCAGTGTAGACGATGTACTACCTTGAATTGAACTATAACATGTTTCACACATATTGAGGACGAATAAATATTTTGAATAATTTTTTGCCAAACTGTGTCTGATATGGATTCCTCCAAGTCCATCTCCCACTTGCCCTTCAAAGAATCTAAATTGGAGTCAGAAAATGAGCAAAAATGAGCAGATGTAAATACAATAAAAATTAAACCAAGATTTAGAATAATTATTATTTTGATCCATACATTGGTAATGTCTGACTGGGCCTCGTGCCACTTTATGTTCAACAAATTGGGCCCCGAGGTCAAAACGTTTAAGAACCCCTGCCCTATAGGACCAAATCATTGCACCTGATAAGAGAATTCATCAAATTATAACTTTTAATCACATGAAATATCAAATAAATAGACTACGAAATGTTTCTCTATCGCTTTATTTGATTGTGTATCATTTCTTAAGGCTTACTTGCATATTTCTGGACCATTTGATCCAAACACAGGACCGATGTAAAGTTTGCTCTCCCATCATATCCACAGTGATATGAGGGCGGCGGCAGTTTCACTCTCTGCTCCACTTGCTTTAGTTTGACCTTAACCGCCCGTGACTGACGAGGTCAGTGTTAGACTAAGATTGGCTGACCTCCAAAGAGGCTCCTTCAGACTACATTTCCTCTCTCTCCCTCCAGAGGGAAGAGGGGATGTTCCGTTTGGCCTTATTCGTCTACTTTTTTTTTAAAGAGAGGCCGAGGACGAGACAGGAAAGCCACACTGTGTCCTCAATTTCTCCACTGTATGAGCAGGTTGGAGAGGATGTTGGCTTGGCATGTGGAGTAGATCATTCGGGCACCAAACCACTCTGTCCGGTGCCAAGTCACTAAAATTAGGAGCTGAAACCTTTCTTGTGTTATTACAGGGTGGGGGGTGGGGGGGCGCTGTTTATCAGGGAAAACACAGAAACGACACTGGGTTCTTTCAAACACGTCCTGTCCATACAGCTTTTCTTTAATGTGTCTTTTGTCTTGTCTCTTCTCAGGGTGAGCTGGGAGCTCCTGGCCCGTGTGGAGTCAATGGACTTATTGTAAGTGTTGTCGTATCCACCGTTACTGCCACTTTATTAAAGTGTTTTTTTAATGGAAGTCTGTGCTTAAAAGCAGTAGCATCATAATAGACAGCAACTAGTTGCTGAACGGCATTCATGAGGGAGTCTTCAGAATGTTTTACAGTGTTTGGGTGGTTCTCAGTTTCCCACAGAGGTGTGCCATCATTTACATTTATAACAATTAATGAAGCATCCAGATGCCTCTTTTAGTGTCTAAATCGCATGTCAAACTCGAGGCCCGCAGGCCAGATGTGACCCACCACAGCATTTTATGTGGCCTACAAGAGCTTCAAAGATAAGTTATTGGCTTAAAATAATAAACTACATCTCCCATAATGAATGTTGATTATTATACTTGCAAAATGAAGGCATCCCACAACACGTGGAGGTGCACAGGATTCAAAATGATTACATTACCTAAGAAAACGAGTTTGACACCCTTGGTCTGAATCAGGGGTATCCAAACATTTTGTCACATGGGCCAAAATCAAAGTCAGAAGGACTTGAGGGTCAAAAATATTTTTCCTTTACCTGCTCAACAATAAACTAAACATTGGATACTTTAATTAAACAAATAAAGTAGTCAGATTTATTGCTGGAAATGGGTGTGTAAATTAATCTAGATTCAGAACTTTTAAATTGTTTTGCAGGATTCCCTTATTGAAAGAAATTTTTGCAATTTTCTAGGTTTCATTTGGGGGGAAAATAACCCAATTTAGTTAATTCTGATCAATAAAATCAGGATTTAGGTCACTCTTTTGTTGAAAATGCTTGCTGTATTCAAATAAATTTAATACAAGAATTAAAGCAGATTGGAGTGCAGCAAAATCAACTTCTGAGCAGAAGTCACTAAATAGATGTGGAAAAAGCTGAGTCTGGTTTTTTAAAGACAAAAAAATTGTATTGTTGCTAATATGTTTTATTATAAGATTTTATTTTGTGATAAATTTGCCCTAACAATAAATAGAAAGTCTCCATTTACATCAAACACCTGTGCCGGGGGGACAAATTTGCAAACAAATTAGTATAATTCTTGAACTGAAGTCAGGGGCCACACAAAATCAGTTCAGGGGCCACACTTTGGACATCCCTAGTCTAAATGTTTAGAACGGGACAGCTAAGTCTAATGACACAAAAGTGACCAAAGAATTGACAATTGAATTATTATTATTATCATATATTTTCTTGTTTCTTTAAAACATCCTGTCATGATAATTCACAGTAGCTGGAATGATGACATTTGTGTTTGTGTGTTGGTTGTAGGGAGACATGGGTCCTGCTGGCATAATGGGGGTACCAGGACTTCCAGGACTCAAGGTAGATGTTTCAGTTTTCTTTTTCAGTTTTATTCAGATTTGTCACTGATTTTATGTTATTAGAGTAAATATGACAGATTTAGTGGAAGTTTCACTAATTAATCTCAGTTTTACCTGACACACAGTCAGTGCTGAGATAATGTTTTCACAGAGTATAGAAACCTGCATCCACTAACCATGTTTTAATAAGGATGAGATGAGTCATCTCATCTTGCCTTTTTTTTTTGTTTTGTTTTTCATTTTGCATCTAAGGGAGTACCTGGAAATCCAGGGGAAACAGGACTGAAAGGTGATAAGGTGATCTGCATATGTCTTTCTCAGTTTAATAACCGTATGTTTTCAATTCTGGGGGCGATCAATTCTAAGAACCTCTGGCTTCCAAGATTATGACACAGCTGCATTTCACACTCAGCACACAAACCAAAAGAGGTCTTTGTCAGATGATTGTTTGTAAACACATTTTTTTATTTACTTTATTTAGGGTGATGTTGGCTTACCAGGAGAACAAGGGGAGCGAGGATTCAAAGGTGACAAGGTGTGTTGGTTTGTGTTCATTTCAGTTTCTTATTTCTTCTCTTTACATCTAGTATTACTCATTTAACTCAGACCAGCGGCCGACATGTTATTTCTGACACAATAAGAGGGTTTGGGTACACAGTATTTTTCCATTTACTATTTGCTGTTCAAAGTTTCTGGTTCTAAAAGCAAAGATGTGATGTGAAAATACTTTGTTGGTTGATTTGATTTGATTTGATTTGATTTGATTTATTTATTTATTTTACAGGAAAAGATTATTAAAAATCAAGCCTGACTCAGCATAATTGCTGTTTTACAGCAGGTTCCTGTTCTGCAGCACATAAACACTCAGAAATAC